AGCCCTGGCTGTCCTAGAACTCACTGTGTAGACCAGGCTGGCCTTGAGCACACAGGCATCCACTGGCCTCTGCCTCCTGAGTGCTAAAAATCATGTGCTACCTCACTCTTCTCAGAAGATTCCCTTAAGGGGACAAAATCAGAAAACTCAAAACACAACACACAAGAAGAAGGCAAGGCCAGGCCAGAATTCATAGCCTGTGTGAGCTCTCAGGGGAGGCTGCCGGGTGTCTCAAGCAACAGCAAAAGTGAGGCTCCATTCCCAGCACAGGACTCGGTCTTGGTCTTAACTGGATCGGTGTGGAAGTGTTTAGCATGTGTAAGTGCGGCTGTTGATCCGGGCGGGGGAAGGGGGGACCCCTCCTGGGGGCTGCAGCCATGGCTCCACGGTTAAGGGGCACTGGCTGTTCTTACAAAGGACCAGGTTCCATTCCCAGCACCCACCTGGCAGCCCCCAAGTCCTCCATGACTCCAGTTTCTGGGGATCTGACACCCTCTTCTGGCCCCTAACAGAACTAGTCACACATTCAGGCAAAACATTCACACACATAAAATAAATAAATATTATAAAACCAACAACAACCAAACCCCTCAATGAACCAAGCGACCCACACATGTAACCTCAGCCCAGACTTGGAAGGTGGGGGCAGGAGGATCAGAAATTGCAGGTCATCCTGGAACATACATGAAGTAATTAATACTGAGGTTGATGCCAAAGTGAGCTTAACAAGCATGAGACCGACTGACAGACAGACAGACAGACAGACAGACAGACAGATAAAAGCTTCCTCTAGATCACATCTATATTAAGTCGATTTTATGATTTTTCCATGCAGAAAAATATTTGCTTTATTACGCTGAGCAGGTTCTAAAATTTTTAATAAGATCTAGCACTCTAGGCCATTAAAAAATGAGTTGCTGATGGAAGTTAAGAGGGAAATGAGGGCAGAGATATGATTGAAAAATAATCTAAGGAAACATACACGGGCCCTGAAAAAGCTTGCAAAATTTGTCAGACTTTGAGACATTGAGTTTGGAGACAAGCAGGCACCACTATTTGCAATACCACATGGAGTCACACGGTGGCGCAAATACTCCATTAGTTTCCACCCGGCAGGCCCAGCAGTTAGGCTCACTTTGTTCTCAGAATAAGTAGAAAACACCATCAGTGCTTTATTATCTATTCTACCTATCTACCTATCTACCTATCTACCTACCTATCTATCTATCTATCTATCTATCTATCTATCTATCTATCTATCTATCTACCTACCTATCTTACTTATTTTAACATTTTGTGCTTCTGGCCCTATAGTCAGTCATTTTCACACGTAATATTGGTAGTCACTGGCCAGAGATTGTCAGAGACAAAATTGCCACTTGAAACAAAGCAGGCTACCAGAACCCTAAAAAGCGGCAGAGGCGTGGTCCAGGAGGCCCCAGCTGTTCCAAAGGCTGAGGCAGGAGGACCACTTGAGGCCAAGAGTTCTAGTCTGGCCAGGGCAATACAGCTTATCCCTGTCTCCGAAATAAAGGGGGAGGGGGGCAGCAGAAAGGAGCAGGCAATGAAATGCAGATGCTGTATTTTTAAATTATAAAAAAAAAAAATTAAACAGTATGAAACTAGAATATATGACAATATATGAAACACAGAATATAGGACAAATCCCAAACCACAGTCCATGTTAAGGACTGTCCAATCTGTAAACCTAGAAAGAAGCCTTGCAGAAAATTAAGCTCCCTCTTTGTCCAGGACACTCTGGCCTGCCCCTCCCCAGCCTTATTTAGCCCTTGAAAATCTCTGAATGTAGTATGAAGCCCTCCTTAATTGGCATATCATAATTGTACATGTTAATGGAACACGCCATGATAATGCAGGTTAACGCATGGTAATGCCATGATATGGCATGTGACACCATAACCACGATATCTAGCACTCCCACCCGAGTGAACATCCAGCATTCCTTTGTGCTGGGGGCCTGAGGACTCAGTTCCTCTCTCCCAGTTCTTTCTAAAGCGTATAACAAATTGTTGTAAATTACCCTCACTGCGCTGTGCGACGGCACATTAGAAATGTCCCGACTGTGCAACTACCCACATCTGCAAACGCCACCCTTCTGTGTCAGTCAGATCTCTGTAGCTGTGACAAAATGCTCGAGGCACAAAAGGAAGTCCCCAGCGTCAGCTGATGGCCCACTAGCTAGCCATCAGGTGACAGAAACACATGGCGTACATAAACGTAAGAGAATATTACTCAGCCATTTAAAAAAAAAAGAAAAAAAGTAAAGAAAAAAGAATGAAATCTTGCCATTTGTGGCAGTTGAAGGAACTGGAGGACATCATGTTAAGTGAAATAAGCCAGGCACATAAAGAACAGTATTGCATGTCCCTGAGTATAAAAGCTGAAAACAAAACAAAACAAAAAAACTAAACCAGTGTCTCAAAGAACTGGAGCAGAAGAGTGGTCAGTAACCGTCACGGTTGCTATGGTTTGGTCTGAAAGCTCCTCTGCTAAAGGCTTGGCTGCAGGCTGATGGGACTTTGGGGAGTGATTGGATCATGAGGTCTCTGACTTCATCGATGAATTAACACACCGATAGATTCATAATTTAATGGCACCTTCAGGCGGTGCAAACTAGGAGCTGGGGTCCAGTTGGAGGAAGTAGTCACTGATGGTGCACCCTGGAAGAATATTCTGTCTGTGGCCCTTTCCTCAAAAGCTCTTTCCTGTCCACCTCATGGTGGGCAGCCTCCTCTGCATGGTTGATTCTGTGTCCTGGCAATTGTGAATAGTGCTACAGTGGAGTTGGGAGCACAGGAGTCTTTCTGACATCTGATTTCATTTTTTATTTTTTGAAATCTTTGGTCTCATATTAGAGTCTTTTTTTAAAATTACATTTTAGTTGTTGTTGCTGGTGTGTGTGTGTCAGAAGTCTTCCCCCACACCCACATGGATCCTGGGGATTGAACTCTGGTCAGGAAGCTTAACAACAGTGCCTTTTCCCAGCGAGCCCTCTCACTAGCTCCTCATATTGGCAACGTAATGTAATGCACATCTTTGGGGTTTTATGCCTTTCTTTCTTTTTCTTCTCTCTCTTTCGCTCTGTCTCGGTTTTGTTTTATCAGGTTTTTGTTTGTTTGTGTGTTTGTTTTTGCTTCTTTGAGACAGGGTTTCTCTGTGTAGTCTTGGCTGTCCTGGACTCACTTTGTAGACTGGGCTAGCCTTGAACTCAGAGTTTTGCCTACCTCTGCCTCCCAAATGCTGGTCTTCTTCCTCCCTTGGTTCTTTCTCTCTTTCTTTTTCCTCTAAACAAAACCTCACTCTGTAGCCCTAGCTGTCCTGGAACTTGCAAGGATGTCTGAGGGTACACTCTGCACTGTCTCCTGAACACAGAACATTCACCCTTCCCGGCTTCTGTCCCCACTACCCAGCCACTCTCCCCAGCTGTTCTCCCCACTATCCAGCCCCTGTCTCCACTGCCTAACTTCAAAAGACAATGGAGATCCTATTTTTAGGATCAAGGGAACAATTTCAGAACCAGATCCTAGCTTAGTCTTGCCACAGAGGAGACTCTTCATAGAGGGGCATGCTCCTAGGGACTTCATTCCCCAGGAGATCACACACAGGCACTTTGCCCTAGAAGGAAGGCCCAGCCTTGTCAGACATCACAAGACATCGGGGCCCCCAGTGTCTCTTCCCATTAACCAGGGAAAGTCTGACGGGCCCACTGTAATGACCTTGATAATGTTGGTCATCTTATTTAACCTTGTTGACCTATGAATCTTTAAGTTAACTGTCACAGAGTTAATGACAGTAAGCAAGTAGGAAAATGCAGGTGCTGCCGCCAAAGTTGGTGACAGTTTCAAAATGTCACAAGACGTTACCGTGGCAATGCACGCTGCTGTTTGGAATTCTGTGCTTGAGACATTTTTTGGTGTGTTGGCTTCACAGCCCAGAAGAAATCAGCAATTAACTTTGAAGCATGTGTGGTCACAAATGCCCGAACCTCTTACAAAAGGACTCAGGCAAATACACCAAGCTTCACAACCCATGAGCTTGCAGTCTTGTTCAGAGTAGAGACTTCTGAATGATCACTGAGAGTTTGAGGTCAGCCGGGGCTACAAAGTGCTCTAGGCCAGCCTAGGCTACAATATGAGATCCTGTCTCAAGGAAGGGAGGAAAGAAGGAAAAAATAAATTTTCATTACACATACTTCAGAAATAATTTTGACGATCTAGGCACTGTGGCTATTTTAGTTACTGTTCTATTGCTGAAATAAAACACCATGGCCGAGGCAACTAATAAAAGAAAGTATTCAATTGGGCCTACAGTTTCACAGGGTTATAATCCTTGATGATGGAGCCAAGACATGATGACAGGAACAGCTGAGCTCATATCTTGATCCACAAGCAAGAGGCAAAAAAGTGCAGAGAATAGTGTTTGTTTGTTTGTTTGTTTGTTTGTTTTGAAACCTAAAGCCTGCCCACAGCGACACAGCTCCAACAAGGCCATACCTACTCCTTCCCAAAGAGCTTCATCAACTGGGGTCCAAGTATTCAAACATTTGAGCCTATGAAGGCCACTCTCATGCAAACCACCACCCCGAATCCCAGCACTTGGGAGGTAGAGGCAGGAGGATCAGAAGTGCAGGGTCATCCTCACTATATGTGACTTCAAGACCAGTCTGTGCTTCCTGTGTCTAAAGGGGGTGAGGGGGTGAACAACAAATGGGTTAACAGGCTCAGTGGGTAAAGGCATTTGCTCCCCAAGCCTGTCCACCTGAGTTCAACTCCTGGAACCCACATAAAGGCAGAAGGAGAGACCTGTCTCCAAAGTGTAAGGGCTGCCATTCATTCCACACAGATCATACATACATACATACATACACACATACATACATACATGTATTCATGCATGCATATATATGTAATGTACATATGTACATACATATATGCACACAGAGATAATAATAATGTTTTAAAAAGAAATCATCTCAGAAATAGATACATACACATGTTTATTCACAGAAAATGCCAGTTAATGGCTTTAATATTAACCATAGTTATCAGATTTCACAATAAAGCATAAAGTGCAAAAGGTCTATAAATCCCCCCCCCCAGAGCAATGATTAATACTACCTCAGCCAGGGTACATTCTACCTGTCCATGGCACACCCTACCTAAAGTATAAAACACAAAAACACGGCATATATGTGAAAATACTCTATTTGCTTGTTCTACTTATTGTGGCTATAAAATAGTTTTAAATCTGACTTGACAGGAAAAGATTTAAGCTTTTTAAAGCAAGGGCTATGTTTTAAAGTCTGTAGGAGATTAGTGTCTATAAAATCTATTGAGAATTCCAATCTGGCCAAAGATGTGTCATTGGTCAGTGGAACCAACAGTACCCAGGTCAAGCCCTGGTTTGGAAGAATCCAGTTTCAGCTGGAGAAAGAGGCTGTAAGAGAGGTCTTGGTGGCCAAGCTCCAGGCCTTGCCTGTCCCCAGAGATAGTTAGTTGTCAGACCTGAGGGAAGTAGATCCAGAGAAGGTTCAAATCCCAGTGCTGGCTCTGGGTGGGCTGGGGGAGGAGGACTGTGAGGAGAGCTTCAGGCCCCTGAGAAATCTCTTGGTTAACAGAATGGGTGGCGTTCTATTTTTACAAAGCCCACATTTGACAACCATCCAGCTTCGTCCCTCCACTCAACACTGTTGAGCCACCGTGACTGGTTCAGGCACTTTTCACTGGATAGGCACCGACTTCCCCCATGTGGATCATGACACAAACGGATGCAGACTGAAAAAGCTCTTCTGAAGAGCTGGCTTTGGCATCACGGGATGGATACTAAAGAAAGAAGAGTTCTAAGTCTCAATGATGGGTGGAAACTGTAAAGTCACTGACAGAGATGATCACATTCATGTTTTCCTATGCCTGGTGATCTCAGGTAAATCTGGAAGAGAACAGAGCCTGACATCCACACTGGTAACAGTGGCCATGACATCACTCATCAAGGTCAACTCTCCCAGGAGGAAGCAGATTCTAGTCTGCACATCAGCTAGTGAACTCAGCTTGTTTTGACCATGCTCAACACGTTAAAATCCACGATGCTGCAGCTTTAACAGCCATTTACTATGGCTCAGAGATCCGAATGTGAAGTGCCAGCCACGTCACAAAGCCAAAATCATTTCCTGTCTCAGGGGCCACTCGAGTCAGGCTTCACGGAAAAGGTAGCTCCAGCAGTGAGTTCAGAATCCAGCAATCAGCATCCAAGAGGAAGTCAGCTCGAGTGTACTCCATGCCAGCTCTCCCTGAAAACGCTGGCATGTGTATCCCACTCAAGGATAAATGATCTAAATGACATCTAATTATAGCTATAGTCGGACAGAAAGGATAGGAAGGAAACACACCCAAGAGCCAAAATACTGGCAAAGGATACTCTGAGGCAATAGAGGTATGAATGACCCTTTTCTTCTGCTGCTTTTCTGTAGCTTCCCATTTCCTGTGAACATGTAGAGCTTTAATGTAAATATGAACAATGCCCAAAGCCCAGCTCAAAATTAGATTCATATATATCCACTCCCTTGATTAGTCTGCCTATGCTGGCAAGCTGTAGAGATTTCTGTTTAAGATGGGTGTGACCACTCACTGCTGTAACCACGCTGAGCATTTGAAAGACCGAATCTGGGAGCTACCATCAGCTGGAGGCTTGTGAGTATTCATGCCAGCCCGAGCCACAAAAAAAGAGCAAAGCTCTGTCTCAGGCAGAAGAAAAACAAAGTTCTGTTTGCCCCCCAAATAAACTCCATCCCAAGCCAGGTACGGTGGCACAAGGCTGGAGAAGTTGCCCACTGAGTCACAGAGTCAGTGCTCATTGCCTTTCACCAAGTTGTGTTCAAGCACATCCATCAATATTTTATCCCTATTCCTAGGGGTGTCGGTAGAGGCCCAAGGGAAAGATTTCTTTCCCTGATAAAAAGAAATGACTCTTCCCTGACTTTGAGGACAACAGCACTGTCATGAAAGGGCCCTTGGGACAAATTAAACTTTGCCTCTGAAAATCCTCTCCTATAGCCATCTTTTTAGTGTATTCACTTATTACATTATGTGTATGAATGTTTTGCCTGCCTGAAGGTATGTGCACCACATGCATGTTCGGTGCCCTCGGAAGTCAGAAGAGGGCATCGGATCCCCTGGGACTGGAGTTACAGGTTCTGAGCTTCACGTGCACGCTGGAAACCAAATCCAGGTTCTTGGGAGAGCAACATATGTTCTTAACTGCTGAACCAACTCTCTAGCCCCAGCCAGCCCTTCCAGATTAAGGCAACTAGGTGTCATCTTCAGGCCATCTATATAGTGTAAAAGAGATAACAATAGACCCCATGCCTGGTAAGATGAACTGGAAATAAGGGATGGTTTGATTTTTGCCTCTGAAAAATTCTAGACTCAAAAATCAAAGGACTCAGCAAGAGTTCTGGTACATGAATCCCTAGGTTACCACAAACATTCAACTGAAAATCATTTTGTATATATGTTAAGCTACAGTAAAATAACATACATCAAGTTAGTTTATCACTCAAAACTAAGTATTTCTGCCTTGGAAATCACCAATCAGATGACTTGTGTAACTTATACAAGTTACTCATAAAGCTTCAAAGCCATAAAAGTAGAATGAAATCTATTCATTTAAAAACCCTAAGTTCAGTTTCCCCTTTGGACCCTGTGAGATTCTGAACAGGGTAAAAGTTCCTGGAGGGGCTAGAAACAGCTAGCTCCTTCAGACTCCGGACAGTGGTGTGGCCCCCACCCCCTGAGCTCTGCCCCACTCCCCACAATGGAATGTCAGGAAGCAGAAGGCGCCTGAGTTACAAACATCCCTGAGATACCCCATCCTACCTCATACCCTCAAGACAGCCCAGTGAAGACAGTGTGAGGAAGGTGAGAAAACATTCAGGCCAGAGTCTTCCTCTTCCCCTTCCCCACCTGCGACCCCCAACCAGCCAATCAGAGTGCAGTGACCGCCCAGCATCGAGAAGGGCCAACCTTCAAGTGCTCTGAGAAGCCTGTTAGCACCAGGTACTGGGAAAGCAACAGCAGGAGACCCATATCCCCAGGAGGCTACATTTCCCAGGAGGCCCACATGCCCTGGAAAACAGTAGAGAAATGGGGTCAGAGTCTTGGAGGTAACACCATATTGGAAGCTTCCAACGCAAAACACTTTCCAAAAGCTTCACACATGCCACAGTAAAAGCCAGAGCTGCCTCGGTGATTGACATGGGTCCCTGGTGCTCTCGCAGAGCTCAAGTGGCAAGCTGAGGGGGCTGTGCGTGGACTCTTCACACCAGAAAAGTTCTCTGAGGGTCTGAAGCTGCTGAACTTCAGGAAGAGCAGAAACAACGTCAGGATCTAAGGTGTGCTTGAAGCGGAGTGTAGGTTTTGGCACAGAGGGTGTTACTGGCTTTGCCCTCTGAAGACAAGGCTCCATCTTTCAGCGGAGGTAGTAGAAGGATTCACAAGCACGTGGAAAACCTGGGAAAGCTCAGAGGCACAACTGACGAGCCACCTCCCTTAGCCACAACCCCCATGAGCATTTTGTCCACTTGGTTTTGTTGAAGGACAATTTTTTCCCCACAAAATGAACTTTGCTCTGGCACCTTCCATCAAAACTCAGAAGGTCTTGTGTATCAGAGGGGCTGACTCCTTTGTAATCAGAGAGCCTGGGAATGGTGAGATCTACAACAAGCCACCTTCTCCAGCAAGAAGCTTTGGGCTACCCCGGGGTCTCCCAAAGAACTACTTTGCCACTGACATTCAGCCCATCAAGCTCACGTGACTGGAAGGAATGCTGAGTAAGACACTCTTCATGTCCATGAGCCCTTCGTTTCCCAACCTGGAAAAAAGGATGGACCCTCCTTCTTAGGCACAATGGTCCAGTAAGAGCCCAAAGGAACAGAAATTTAAAGAGACACACCCATACTGATTCTTCAACCCCCTTGGCTATTTCTGCTAGCAAACGAAGCCCAGTGCATGAAGAGAAATAGGTAGGGAAGTCAACCACTGCCTTGCCATCACGTGATCTTGACTGGCGACTTCTTGTGGGCACACAGGAGGGACACATAGGGGACACCAATAAAAGCCCACTTCTCGCTGGGCCAGAATCGAATGACTGGTCCTTGTTCAGGTATCTCTGAGACAGCATCAAAGTAGGCAAAGCACACACAGCCCAGATATGCAGCAAGGCAGATGAGGATGTGCCTGCAAAAGAGGGAAAAGGTGAGCTGGGCACAGCGCTTCTCCTTGAGCCACCTACCTTCCACGCTGTCACTTTCATCCAGAGGGCATACCTAATGGAGAAAGGGTGAGACAGCCAACCAAACCAAAAGAGGTATGATAAGTCTTAAGACTGTCCTAAAACACAAAACATTTCCACTTGAAATGGCATGGTGGCTCAGACCTGTAATTCTAGCACTCTGGGAGGCCAACTCAAGAGGAGTGTCAAAAGCTCAAGGCTACACCATGAGTTCAAAGCCAGCCAGAGCCACAGTTCAAGAAGAAAAAAAAAAATATTACTAGATGATTGGACCAAATACATTTAGGGCCTTCCCAGAAGAACTAAAGGCAAAGGACGAAACCGGAAGTACCAAGGTGGAAATGGCTGAGCCCAGAATTAGATCCCAGCTCATTGCTTCTCACCTCGGCAATGTGTACAGCTTGTGCTTTTCATTGAAAATTAGTCTATATTAAAATGCACTCAAAGCTTTACGGAAAAATCTATTTAAAAAAAAAAAAAAAAGAAAGAAAGAAATCTTTTACCTGTCAAAAGTTTCAATTTGATCTTTACCAAAAAGGAAATCCTGGCAGAGGTGGCACATGCTTTTAATCTCAGCACTAGGGAGGGAGAGGCAGGCAGATCTCTGAGTTCAAGGCCAGCCTGGTCTATAGAGTGAGTTCCTGGACAGCCAGGACTGCACAGAGAAACCCTGTCTTTAAAAACCAAAAAGAAAAAGAAAGGAAGGAAGGAACAAACAAATGAAGGAAGGAACGAAGGAAGGAAGAACTCTTGTTCTGAGTTCAAATCTCCAGCATCCTCGTAGAAAGGTGAGCATGGCTGTGTGTGCCTGAAATCCCAACATTGAAGAACAGCAAAACAGATCCTAAGAGCTTGCTGGATAACCAGCCCAGCTGAAAAAGCAAGTTTCTGGTTCAGTGAGAGACATCGTCTCCAAGGCAAGAAAGCAGAGAGCAATAGAGGAAAATAACCAATGCCCTGCTGTGGCTTTTGATTGATTAAATAAAACGTAATGAGCTAAGGAGCTGGAAAGATGGCTCAGTGGTTAAGCGCTCTTCCAAAGGTGAGTTCAATTCCCAGCAACCACATGGTGGCTCACAACCATCTAGAATGTGAACTAATTCCCTCTTCTGGCAGGTCTAAATGCAGAGAGAACACTCGTATACATAAAATAAAGAAATTAAAAAAAAAAAACGTAATGAGCTAATGGAGAGGTGAAGCTATATTATATAAATGCAGGTTTATTGGAAGAGCATGGGGAAAGAAAAATGGGAAGCCAGGAAAAGAGAGCAAGAAGGGGGAAAAGAGGAAAAGGGGGGAAAGGGAGAAAAGGGGCAGGTGGAGCCAAAATGTCTAGATTATACAGTGAAGGGCCTCTGAGAGAGGGGAGGCCTGTCCCAAGGCAAGGCGGGATATGCCAGCCACACCCTTCAGCAGGAAGAGACCTAACAGCTTTCTCATGTATGGACATGTTCATTCACACCTGCACATTCGTATGTGTGCAACACACACACCCACCGTTCGTACACACAAAGACCCTGACACTTACTAATAGACAGACTGGCGAAGTGAATTATAAAACATCTATGTAATGAAGTACTAAATAGAACAAAATAAAGCTTCATAGATAGATGATAGATAGATGGATGGATAGATAGATAGACAGACAGACAGATGCACATTAGTAAAGAGTAATGCCCATGGAGAGGATGTGGAATGGAGCTGAGCTGGCAGAGCACTTGCCTAGCATGTGTTAAGTCCTAGGTTCAGTTCCACAAGCCCAGAGAGAATCTCAGTACTTAAGAGACGGAGTTAAAAGGATCAGGAGTTCAAAGTCATCCTCTTGTGTGCAATTGGCACAAAGCTTGGCTGGGCTCCAGGAGACACTGCTGTCCTAAAGGAGAGGTGTGGGCATGCTCTAAATACAGAGTTAGCTAACACTTTTACACTGTAACAGGATAGTGTCATGGACAAGAGTGTTGGGTCACATTCACACCTATCCTGGGAGGTCTGTGGGCGCATGTGGGCCTGGGGCCACTCATTGGCTGGGCATGCTCAATAAGAGTTTGGTTTAAAAATAGAACAATTTTGCATCACATGCAGAAAGGTGCCATTGTAGTTTTCTAGAAACATAATGATTCATGGGTATCTGGTTGTAGATAGATAGAAGAGGAAAAAGTTCCTTATTGTTGTTTGTTTTTTTGTTGTTTTGTTTTGTTTTGTTTTGAGACATGGTCTAACTATGTAGCACTGGCTGGCCCAGAACTCACTATGTAGACCTGGTTAGCTTTTAATTCATAGATGCTGATTGCCTCCAATCAGCTTGCTGCTATTAAAAATGTGTGCCACCAGACCTGGGTTCTCATTTCTTTTCTTCTTCATTTTTTCACCAGCAATGTAGGAGGAACAGAATTTTCTTGAGGAATGTGTTTATATACCATAAAATATGAAAAAATATACTTCAGGTTGTTAATATCTTTCTTTGGGGAGTCGGACTGAGAGAGTCATTTTCTATACGTCTTTGTTGTTTTAAACTATTATTCAAAAATCATTCCGTGGGGCTGGAGAGATGACTAACTGATGAAGATAACTTGCTGCTCTTACAGAGAACTTTGACTCCCAGCACCTACCTGGTGGCTCACATCTGCCTCTAACTCCAGTTCCAGAGGCCCCAACTCCCTGTTCTCTTTGGGTACTGCATGCGTGTGGCATAGGGACACATTTGCAGGCAAAACATTCATACAAATAAAACTAAATTAAAAAAAATTTTAGTGTATGTATCTGGCAACATGGCTAGGTGGGTAAAGGCATTTCCTTCAAGTCTGATGATAAGTTAGGTTCCTGGCATCCACATGGCAGATGCAGAGAACAAACACATGAGAGTGCGTGTGTATACACATACTCACACAGGCTACAACATGCATGCGCCAAACACCCACCCTACATGAGCAAAATCACTTCATAATGGGGAAGAAGAGATGGTTCAACCTTGAAAAACAAAGCAGATCCTGTGAGTGAACACCTCAGCTTGTATATTTTATTTGGTTTGGTTCTTTGAAAGTGGTTCTAGAAGCCTCCAAAACTTACATTTCTCAGCATGGCAATTCTCCCTGGAGAAGCCCACACCTATGCTTAGGTATGCTGCGTTCTTCACTGAGCACCTCACTATCTCTTAACCCTCCTCCTTAAAAATCTACATTAAAATCACTCCAACTCCAAACTCCAGCTCTGTGTGTACACACAAGCTGAAGTTCACTTGAGCAAAGAATTTCCTGTTTGGTGTGTGAAAGCATGTGCGTGGTGTGTGTATGTGTGTGTGTGTGTGTGTGTGTGTGTGTGTGTGTGTGGTGTATAGAATCTTACTGCGTAGTCCATACTAACCTGAATCTTGTAGTGAACTTCCTGCCTCAGTTTCTCAGGTGCAAAGATGGCAAGTGTGAGCCACCATGCCTAGCTCACAGTGGGATCTGAAGATGGCTCTGGCTGTGGGTTAATAGAAACCTACAGAACTTCCCCAGGATTCTCCCAATCTACCATGACATGAGACAACCATTTATCTTATTCCCTGCCCCATTCTGTATTGAACAGTCATGAGGACAGAAACACTGCCTTTATCCTGGGTTTGGAGCTGAAGTATTTTCTAGGAAGAAAGCCCCTCCCCATCCCAGGTCCTCCTTTTCTGCTGGAGTTTGAGCCCAGGCACTTGTGCATGCCAAGTGGGCATTCTACCACTCTACCACTGAGCCACACCTTCCACCTTTCCACCGTTTCCTCCCCTTCCCGAGTGTGGATTCTGTACATGATTTTTGGAACCACCATTTTCTTTTCTTTGAACGTCAGAGTCATTCCCAGGCTTCCCCAAATCTATAGATGCTCTGCTTCCTTCTGACCAAACTGTGGGAGTTCTATTCAACAACAGACTTTAGGTCTCCTAGGCTTTACCTGTAACCAGAAAAAGAACAGGTGAGACTGTCCCTAGAGGCCTGTGTAGCTTTCACCTGGCCACAGGGGCCCTGAGGGCGTGGTTCCTATTGAGAACCAGCCTATCTCCAGCTCCTCCGCCCCCACCATCTATCCAGACCTGAGAGCTCAGGTTGCAGTCTCCGTTTTCAGCTCTCTGTACTAATTAAGGAGAGGCTGCCAACCCATAACAATTAGGTCTTTGCAAGGGTTTGTTCTGGCTAAACCAGCTCCCCGGGGCTATTTTCACACTCTACCTCACTTTCATTGTTTCTTTTAAAATGTCTGACGTAAGAGAGAAAGAGCCTGGAAGATCGCCTCTATGCCCTTTCCCTGAACCCACCTGCACCCAGCCCCTGCAGCAAGTGAGGACACCAATGTCAGCACCGTCACCTCAGGGCAGGAGTTTACTTACCACACACAATGCAGGTATGGGAAGTGAAAGGATGAGAGCAGCTCACAGAAAGCTCGGTCACTGATCCAGCAGAAGAGGGCGAGAGTCCACCAGAGGCCGGAGAAGAGGCCCAGCTTAAACACGCGTACATTGTCACATCTGTGGGGGAGAAGGGAGAGAGAAGGTCTGTCGGTTCTGGCTTCCACATGCTTTGCTAGCTACCTCTCCTGTGTCTCCAAAAGGTCTCATTCACCCCAGCTCTAGGCATCGGCATCCTTCTGAACACAGACTCACAGATGTAAATACCACATGTACACACAGGACTTCCATAATCTTATTTTCCACACAGGCCTGGCCCCTGACTCCAGATGCATAGAACCACCCACCATCTTGAAAGGGTGCCCTGATGTCTAATACAGACACAGTACAGCTAGTCTTTCCTCCTGCCCACAGACCCCACATGTGGTCTGCCTTCCGGCCATGCGGGTCCAGGCCCCCATCATCTCCTCCTCTCTAACCCACTCTCACCTTTGTCCTTGTTGGACAATGTTGTGTTCCCAGGCAATGTTCTGTTCCCGGGCTTTAATGAGAGAGATTGCCCTTCCTTTTTGTTTTCTTTCCATACTCCAACCCTCACCATCTTTGCTACGGTAGAGCTATGCTGTTCCTCAAACACCCCACTGTGGCGAAGCACGAATGGACCCTAAGCTTTTCCCACTTGCTTTGCCTCTGCCAGGGGTGCCCTGCCCTCACACAGCAATGCAAGTCGTTTGTCTTCGAGTGCCCGTGCGACATCATTCAGGCAGCCTGTACTGGTTTGAATGAGACTGTCTCGTTGGATGAATAAAACAGTCTCCAGATGGTGGTGCTGTTTGGGAAGTTTAGAAGGTACAGCCTTGTTGAAGGAATTATGTCACTTGAGGCAGACTTGCCTTAGCTCTCTACACACTGATAGTAAGGCCCACACACACACACACATGAGTCAAGCTGCCTACCTAGAACCTTCACTCCTGTGGACTAGTATTCACAACACTGGAGGTACTCTGCATGCTTCCAACAGAGAGAGAGAAACACCACACCAGTTACAAACCCTTCAATCCACTCGAATGACCTGCCAGCAAGATACGCTGGCATAATAGTGGCACAAAACATGTGGCAATAACCAACCAATATCTCCATGAGATGGAAGCCATTGCTTACATGGACATTGCTTACATAGACAAGAACCTGAGACTAGACTGCCCAAGAACCTAGGGGAAAACCTAACACTCCTGTCCTGCTCCAGGATGGTAGCAATATAATGACTCCTGACTCCTATTCTCATAGATCCCTGCCTTGCTCAGCCATCATCAGAGAAGCTTCCTCCTACAGCAATACAGAGACTCACAAATACAAAGACCCACAGCCAGACAATATGCGGAGATTGGGCGCCTTTAGCACACTCAGCCTTAAAAAGGACGTCTCCATCACATCCCTCCCCTCAGGGCCCAGGTAACTGTGTGGAAGATGATGCGGAAAGGAAGACTGTAAGAGCCAGAGGAGATGAACAATACCAAGGAAACAAGGCCTTCTAAATTCAACAGGACTAATGCACGTAGGAGCTCACAGAGACTGGCAGCAGGCACAGGGCCTGCACGGGTGCACAGCAGATGGTGCTCTAGAGCTGAAGTGAACACAATTCTCTGTGCCTAACCCAAAAGCTATGTCCAATTGATAGCCACTTGTTGTACTGAGGTGTTTGGGGTTTTTTTGTTTTGTTTTGTTTTTGGGTTTTTTGTTTGTTTGTTTGTTTGTTTTTGTTTTTGGTTTTGGTTTTTTTTTTGCTTGTTTCTTGAGAAAGAACTTAAAAGTTAGATGGGTAGGGGGCAGGCGAGGATCTGGAAGGACTTGGGGGAGGGAAAGAATATGATCAAAATACAGGCTTTAAATTTAAAAACTGTTTTAAATAATAACTTTAAAACTCTAAAAAGAAAAAATTAGTTTCCTCCAAGGGAGTCTCAGTTGGGGAAACAAAACGCTCTTCAGGGTGGGTCCTATGCCAAGCAATAGACGATCAACACAAAACAGGCATGAGCCCATCTTTGCAGGGTCTTTGTCACATACTGCTAAGCCAGGGCCTTTGCACGTAGAGGATGGCTTCCACTTTGGGGTTTTTATAGGAGTCCTGTGAGAACATACATGACTCTCTGTATCTACAAGAATCTCTTATGCTTTTTCTTTGAGTCTTTTTCTTGTTTGGCTGTTTTGTCATATTCCAGTGTCTTTGTTTTTTATTTCTCTAATTGTATTTTATTTTGTTATCATTCCTTAGATGTCTGTTTTCTAACAAGGAACAGAAAGGTTATGGATCTGGATAGAAGGGAATGCCGGGAAGAACTGGAAGGAGTAGGAGGAGGGGAAAGTGTAATCAGAATATTCTGTACACAGAAACATCTATTTTGGGCTGGGGAGTTGGCTCAGAGGTTAAGAGCCAACAGAGGTTAAGGTCCTCAGTTCAATTCCCAGCAACCACTGGGTGGCTCACAACGATCTATAATGAGATCTGGTGCCCTCTTCTGGCACACATGCAGGCAGAATACTGTATAGATAATAAATAAATCCTTAACAGTGTTTATTTTAAAAGAACATCTATTTTCAATAAAAGAAAAAAAAGTTTCCTTTTTCATGGTATTTTGTCACAGCAATAGAAAGATAACTAATACAGAAAAAAAAAATTTAAGTTTTTCAAGACAGGGAACTCTTTCTGTAGACCAGCCTGGTCTCAAACTCACAGAGATCCTCCTGCCTTTGTCTCCCAAGTGCTGGGATTAAAGGCATGAGCCTCCACTGCCTGGCCCATTCCTCCTTTAATGTAATCCTCCTGACATCTATTTTGCTGTTTGTTCCCTGCTGACAGATAACTGTTCTCCACAGTGTCCTCAGCACTGAAACAGTACTGGGGATAAAAAAAAAATAAACTCTCAAGAAATCTTAAATACATATATATATTTCTTGCACAGACTAACAAACATTCTTCTGAAATAAGTCCCTCTGCTTATGAGAAACCTGCGACAGTTTTTTTTTTTTTTTTTCCTCCTTATGGAACTATTCTTAAATTGGAAAATTTCTATTCCTGGGGAAGAATGTCCAGTGAACCCACTGACAGCTGGGGGCTGAAGAGGTTCCACACCTTCCTTCCAGGACCTCTGTCCTCAGTAGACCACTCCTGAGTCAGTTAGGGTCTTACAGGGGGCTCAGCAGCCAAGAAAAGGAAAGCTGTCAAATGCCTGACATGCCACCACCATTCCCACTTCCTGACGGAAACATAAGGAAAAGCTTCGATGAAGAAGGGATAAGATAGCAGTTCACAAGCTCTGTTTTAAAGCAAAACAAAACAAAAAATCCTCTCTCACAGGAAGGTTGAATGCCACATTTGAAAAGTATTTCTGGAAAAAAAAACAAATAGAGGGCCGTGTCACAGAGAAATCATTAACTTCCATCTGACCTAGATTGTTTCCTATTGCAGTGACAAAACACCACAACCAAAAACAATCTGGGGAGAAAAGGTTTATTACACCTTACAACCCCCAGTTCCAGGCCTGGAGGGAAGCCAAGGCGGGAACTCAAAGCAAAACTCTGGAGGCAGAAACTGAACAGGGACCATGGAGGAACACTGCTTACTGGCTTGCTCTTTATGGCTTGTATCTCCCTAGGGTTGACAATGCTCACATCAATCGTCAATCAAAAAAATCCCCCTGAGGCTTGCCCACAGGCCATCGTGGTGGAAACATTTTTAATTGTGTTTCCCTCTTCTCAGATGACTCTAGCTTGTGCCAACTTGACAGAAAAAAACAAAACAAAACCATACCAGGCCAGGCACGGTGGTGCACGCCTGTAATCCCAGCATCAGGAAGGGAGAGGCAGGCAGATCTCTATGAGTTTGGGGCAAGCCTTATCTACAAAGCGTCCAGCACATCAAGGCTACACTGAGAAACCCTGTCTCGAAAAAACAAACAAACAAAAACCTTACCAGTAAACCATCACTGTAACAAAATACGTGAAACAAGGGACTTAAAAAGAGGAAAGAATAATATTGAGTCATAGTTGTATACGTTTCAAGCCATGGCCCCCTGGCCCTATTGCCCTTTGCTCAACAGGACAGGGAGAATGAGGCCAGCCAAAGCTACTTATTTCATGATTGCCAGAAAGCAAAGACACAGGATCAGACAGGGTCCCAAAGTCTCCTTCAAGGACATGCCTCCATGTGACCTGACTTCCTTCCATAGATTCCACCCTTGACTAGTGCCACACACCAGCAGCAAAACCTTAAGCACTTCCAAAATTTAAGACACAAACTAAGGGGCAGGAAAGATGGCTCAGTGGTTAAGAGCGCTGGCTGCTCTTCCAGAGGACTTGGGTTCCATTCCCAGCACCCACATGGAGGCTCACAATGCTCTGTGACTCCAGTTCTAGGGGATCTAACACCCTCTCTGGTCTCTGAGGACACCAGGCATGCATGTGGCACACAGACATACATGCAGGCAAAATACCCAGAGAGAGAGAATAAGCCAGGTGCAGTGGCACATGCCGTTAATCCCAGCACGTGGAAGGCAGAGGCAGGTGGTTCTTTATACGTTCAAAGCCAGCCTGGTCTAAATAGCAAGTTCTAGGGTAGCCAGGACTACATATTGAGACCCTGTCAAAACAAAACAAAAAAACATTCTAGTCGTCCTATGAGTGAAACGAAGCTTCCAAAGAGCATCTACCATGAGCTCATGGCCTCCTCCCGCCTCAATTTCAATACTTCCTGAACTTCGCCCTCTACAGGGCCATCTCTTCATATTGCATCCTGTCACTGAACCCTGTTATCCTCCTTCACATCAGTTATCAAAAGCTGAAACTGCATAGTATTTGTGCAATGACTCACTTCATGTATGAAAGGTCAAAGACAGTAAGAACTACACCTGCTCATTCACCAATGGATACCTAGCGTCTAGCAAGAGTTCCTGGCCCAAAGCAGGGGTTAAATAAATGCTTGCTGAGTGAATCAATAAAATTAAAAAGTACAGGGACAATTTCAGCTGGACTCCAGTAATTTGGGTAAAATATTTTATTTTATTTAGTTTGGTTTGGTTTGGGTTTTTTGGTTTAGTTTTTCAGAGACAGGCTTTGTCTGTGTAGCCTTGGCTGACCCACATACAATACCTTGTCTGTGTAGCCTTGGATGTGTCTCAAGAGTTTGAGGCCAGCCTCTCTTTGTAGACCAGGCTGGCCTCAAACTCTTGAGACACGTCCTGTAGTCCAAGCTGGCTTCAAAGCTATTATGTAGCCTCCTGCTCTCACTTCCCAAGTCCTAGGACTGCAGACTAGTTCAAAGCCAGTTTAGGCTGTATAATAAAATGTATATTAAGGAAGAAGAAAAAAAAAAAAAAAAGAAAGTGGAAGGAATTAAGGCAGAGGAAGGGAAGTAAGAAAAAGGAAGAATAAGCCAGGCATGGTAATGGATGTCTTTGATCCCAACACTTAGGAGACAGAAGCAGATGTACCTCTAAGTTTGAGTCCACCTGATCTACAAAGCCAGTTCCAGGACAGCCAGGACTACATAGAGAGACCATGTCTCATACAAAACAAAACAAAAATTTACTAAAAAATTATTTTTTTTTACAAATCATTATTTTTACAGAAAGTTTCCATGAACACCCAATCCATTTAAATTTAGAAATTTTGCTTAAGGAGCACACCAAAACAGAGTGATATGGTTGACAGATACTGTGGGCAGTGTCAGTGAAAGCAATGAAAGAGTGCCAGTTTGAGTGACTGGGGGATGGCAGAGGAGACGGAAATCAATGGAGAGCCAGGGGCCCAAGGCAGTACCTGTGTCTCCCTCTACTCCCGAGGATTCAGGTCCTGCTACAGCTGCTGGTCAGGAAGCTCAGGTCAGCTCAGGACTGTCCAAACCTGGCTCCGCTAGCTTTTGGCCTCATTGTCAGGGCTTTCATCAGAATATCAGTGTGAGGCCAAGTTTCAGAAGGAAACGAGCAGTACGGAATTAATGTATGCAACAGGACTGGGCTTCAAGATACAAAATCCTGAGAGCGGCGTCCACTCTTTCTTCTCTTACTGATCCTTTAGTGGTGGTGGGGTGGCGGTTGTTTTGTTTGGCTTTTGAGACAGACTCGCATGCTGTAGCCCGGCTGGCTGTCCTGAAATTGACTATGCAGACCAAGCTGGCCTTGAACTCACAGAGGTTTTCCTGTCTCTGCCTCCCTGGTGCTGGGATTAAAGGCATGTACTACCACACCCAGCCTCCTCCATTGTATTCTCAAGGTGCTTCTTAAGAATAAAAGAATCATTCTTAGAATCAGAAAAAGATACCTTTCTATTAAATATCATTTAAAAAAATGTTTTCGATGTATCTGCTTTACGCATCTGAGCATTTTGCCTGCATGTATGCATATGCACCAAGTACATGACTTGAGGCGAAAAGTCTCCTGAAGAGAGTGTCCGGTCCCCTGGAACTGGAGTTATTACAGTGGCTGTGAACCATCACGTGGGTGCTGGGAATTGAAAGCCTCTACAAGAGCTTTCACCCACTGAGCCTCTCTCTCCAGGCCCCATAGAAGCTTGTTTTTAAGGCAGTTGAAATGCAGGAAAGTCTCTTGGCAACGGGATTTAAACATCCCAAAGTTCAGCAATATCAGGTCATGACCCTGACTCAGAATAAACTTTCATTTTCTCCTGCTGAGGGAGGGTCCAGACATTGAAACTCTAAAGGCCAGACACCTTCAGGAAGGAAGGCTAGAGAGAAACAGAGCGATAAAACAGTCCTTCCTCTTTGTCCCCCCAGGCAAAGCACGGCACAATGAGAGAATAGCTTGGACCTGACATGTCACGTGAGAACAGGGAAGACGTTGGAAGGAAACGCACAGAGGGCCAAGAGCACCCTTTTTTTCTGGGAATATTATCAAAGCAGGGAACTTTTCCTTTCCTTTTCCTTACTGAGATTTGGGCAGTAACTGAGTTACAGCAGGGAACAAAAAAGAGCTGAGCTATGTCTATGCAGTGTCGCTTTGTCCTTCTGTGTCAAGCAGAAGTTGAACAAAACTCCTTAAATTACTTTTTAATCATGGTTGCAGTGAGTGCTGTAAAGGAGGACAATACGAGTACACATAAATGGCCGAGCCCCAAACTAAAGGACCAGCAACAGTTAACCACACCAAGGGTCAGAAACAGGTTAGTGTGACCAAGGGCCTGGAGCTAGAGGGACCTGGGCTCAAATGAAGACAAAGAAGTCAGAACAGTGGAGAACAGACAAGGGGAAGCTTCAAATGTGCATGTTGGGGGGCGGGGGAGGATACACTCAACTTACAGGGCAGCAGAGATGTGTGTAAAAAACTTTGAATTGCATTGGTATTGCCGTGCCAACAAGTAGAACAATGACAGAAACCTGAGGAGATGTCCGGGGAAAGATAGCTTCTGACTTGGACATCTGGGCAGAGTACTCCTATTTAGGACAACTGCAAGCACTACAAAGAAAACTAGGGATGGAAAAAACAGGCAAGGAACCTGGTTTGTCAACCTGAACTCTCAGTACTTGTGACTCCTGCAATTGCAGGAGTCAGGTAAGCAGCTAAGCAGATAAGAAACTAAAGGTAAGAAAAACAGCCTAAACCCAGTGTGGGGTACACACCTTTAATCCCAGGAGGCAGAGGCAGGAAGATCTCTGAATTCGAGGCTAGCCTGGTCTACAGAGCAAGTTCTAAGACAGTCAGGGCTACACAGAGAAACTCTGTCTGGAAAAACAAACAAAAAACAACATTTGGGGGCTAGAAAGATGGTTCAGAGGTTAAGAGCACTGGCTGCTCTTCCACAGGACCCATGTTCAACTTCCAGCATCTATATGATGGGTCACAAGCATTTTTAACTCCATTTCCAGGAAATCTGATGCCTTCCTCGGGCGTCCTCAAGTACCAGGCATGCAAGTGGTACACAGACATATATACAAAGCACCCATACACATAAAATGCTGCATTTAAAAAAATTTTTTTTAAGTCACTCATGGGCATGGTATCTGACACTTATAATCTCAGCACTAAGGGAGCTATGGTGTGAAGATCGATATGAGTAAGTCCCCAGCATGGCCAGCCTCAGCTACATAGCAGGAGCTGGTTTCTAAACATCAAGACATTCAGAGCTCATAACAAGAGTAGTATGAGCCAGGCGCGGTAGTAGGCGCTTGTAATCCTAGCATTCAAGAAGGCAGAGGCAGGCGGATCTCCGTGAGTGCGAAGCCAGTCTGGTCTACAAAGGGAGTCCAGGACAGCCAAGGCTACACAGAGAAACCTTGTCTGGAAAAAAAATACATTTTTTATTTGTTTGTTTGTTTTGTGAGACACAGTTTCTCTGTGTAACCTTGGCTGTCCTGGACTCACTTTGTAGAACAGCCTGGCCTCGAACTCACAGAGATCTGCCTGCCTCTGCTTCCCTGAGTGCTGGGATTATAGGTGTGCACCACAGTGCCCGGCTGGATTCAAATACGTTTTTAAAGTAACTACAACAAAAACAAATGTTTTCAGCAAATCTTAAAATGAGAACAATGTTCATATGTATTTAGTGGCTAGAAGACCCACATACAATACCTAAAATAAAATATTTGGCTTTTTCCAGTATTTAAATGTTGTGTGTATGAATGTTTTGCTTGAATGTATGTGTGCCACGTACCTTCCTGGTGCCTGCAGAGGTCAGGATTGGGTGTTGGATGCTTGGGAGCCACCATGTAGGTGCTGGCAACAAAACCAAGGATGACTGGGAGTGTTCTTAACCATGCTCTTAACCACTGGGCTGCATCTCTAGCCCCCATAAAGTATTTCTGGAAGGGCTCGAGATCTAGATGGTTCAGAAGTCAAGAGCATTTACCGCTCTAACCAGAGAACCCAGATTTGGCCTCAGTACAATATCAGGCAACCCACAGCTCCAGTTCTGGGGGTCAGACTACTCTTTTAATCTCTGAGGGTTCCTGCACACACATGGTGTGATACATACATTCAGGAGAATACACATACACACAAAATAAAATATATAGAAATTTTTTTAAATATATACATTAAAAATAAAAAACAAATTTTAAAAAAATGTTTCCTCATATGAACTTGAAGTCTTCATCTGCGACTTCCCAGAAGAAGATGGTTACCCAGGCAACATAAGACTGTGAGAATGGTACCCACCTCTTCAGTTCTGCAATGAGCAGCGCAGTACATGGAACCCCGAGACTCATCAGAGAGATATTGTTGATGGCGGGCTTTACAAACGCCAGGCATGTTGTAACTGCAGACAGGACACAGACCACCGCCTTGAACCTGCCCCTAAACCGGTGGAAGTTAAACAAAATGCATTAGCAAAGGAAATCACGCTGGTCTGTTTAACATGCTCCCCTGACCACACACGCTGAGGATTGAACCCAAGGCCTTGCGCATGCTGGGCATGTATGCTCCCACTGCTTGCTACTGCTGGGGAGGTTGCAGCCAGCACTATTCGTGCAAATTGAGAAGAACTTCTACAACAGTGTTCTCAACCATCCTAATGCTGCAACTCTTTAACACAGTTTCTCACATCGTCGGGACCCCAAACATAAAATTATTTTTGTTGCTACCTCATAACTGTAACTTTGCTACTGTTATGAATAGTGAAGTAAATATCTGATACGCAGAATATCTGATTTGTGGTGGGGTTGTGACCCACAGCGGTTGAGAAGAACAATACATTAAGTATTGTTAGGTGAAAAATGAGCCAAAGCTAAAAGCCATCTGCTCTACTTCTAGGAGCTGACTGTTGGGAAATCAAAGACTTTGAAAACAGCTGTGAAAACGGTTAAACCATTATCAACTTAGGTCTCTGGGGGAGAGACTGGTAATGATTTCCTTGCTCTTCTTTCTGTGTGTCTTCAGATGTTCTTCTGCAGGACTTGACAAACCCTTTCTGTAGAAGCCAGACACAGTAGCACAGGACTACAATCCCAGCACTTGGGAGGTAGAGGCAGGAGGATCAGGAGTTCAAGACCAGCCTCAGCTACGTAGCCTGTTTTGAGACCCTGTAAAGGATCAGAAGCATTTTAGGTTTTGCAGGTCCTAAGCTCTTTGCTGCAGCTATTCAACCCTGCCTTTACAAAGATAAACTCAGGAATATGCATGCCTATGAACTGATAAAACATCATAGAATTCATTTAGCCCCAAGTAGTTCTACCAAGTCAATATGCATGACTTTTATGAGACATTAATAAAGCATAAACATTACTACTTAAAAAAAATAACCCTGTGTGCCCAGCCTACAAAACTAAAAGTCTTGTGAAAAAATTTTCTTCAAATAAGATGAATATTTCCTGGCAGCCTGTAGGTCTGTCATAAACTGGAAGTTTATCTTGACATGATTTTAACATGACAGATCAATAACACTCTCTTCACAGCCTTCAGAGAAGTGGAGCCAGCCAGAAGTGGCGACGTGATCCTGGTCATGCTTCTTCCTCTCTCCAGCAGCCCCGTTTCCTGAAGTATAGAGCAAAAAAGGCCCTGGCCTAGCCACTCTCAGTGGCCTTATCCACGGCTTAAATTAAGGAGCACATGATTTTCCTGTAGTTTCTGTTTTTTGTCATTAGCAGAATTTGTTTTGGCCAAGAGCCCCGGAACAGGTCACAGTTAGGAAACTGATTGGAATGAAGTTCTAGTATAAAGAAATCAAAGGGTATCGGTTCTTCAAAATACAAATGTATCTTCTAAAGGGAAAAAGCATTTACCATCAAGGCACAGGAAATCATTGATCAAGCTGCCAGCCTACTGACTGCAATGAGCAGGCTTTGTAGCCCTAAACCATAGGGGAAAAGATGTATGTGAAAGGAAGCAGGCAGCAAAATCTCAAGAGACTCGTGTTTTCTTCCTGACAGGCCAGAACTCAGCCACCGGAAGCAAAGCTGTCTGTCCAGCCTGAGGACAGCCCCCACCAATACCAGGCACATGTCCTCTGGGCCCTGAGCAACTCTCCCTGAAAGCTCCTGACACAGCAAAGCCAGGGCCTTTTGCTAGTCTGTCTCTGTTCCTTCCCTCTCCTCTTGCTATCACAGGACAAGCCCATGTGTTTCCTTCTCTTCTCGAGGTACACCACATCTGTACATTGTTTTGCACACACACACACACACACACACACACACACACACACACACACACACCCTTCAATTGGAAGCATGTAACCAGAGGTTTACAGGCTGGAGATATAGCTGAAGTAGCATAGTGCTTTCCTAGCATGCACGGGGCCCTGGGTCCATCCATTGCATCTCAAAAACTGGGTGTGGTCCTGCATATTTGTGATCCTAGTACATGAAAGGAGAAGGCAGGAAGATTAGAAGATCAAAATCATCTTCAGCTAGCAAGCTTGGAGCCAGACTGGGACACCGGAGACCTTGGTTTTTATTCTTGTTATTTTCTTTTGGTTTTGTTTTGTTTCTAAAAAGAAAGGAAGAAAGAAAGAAAGAAAAAAAGAAAGAAAGAAAGAAAGAAAGAAAGAAAGAAAGAAAGAAAGAAAGAAAGAAAGAAAGAAAGAAAGGGGAGAAGCTGGGAGGAGGGAGAAAATAAGGTTCCAAGGTATGGTAGTCGATACCCAGTGGCTGGGATTCAAGCACAAGTTAGAGGGAAGAATACAGTAATTAAAAGCACAGATGTTATGTGAACAACCAAGCAAGATACAGTCCAGGTATAATTTGATCAATAATAAATGGATGATAAAAGAAAAAAAAAAAAAAAGCACAGATGTTTCAGATGGACAAATGCACTCACAAATCCTGGCCCCTGTTCAGTGGCTGCGGGCCCTTCGCAAGAAGCTTAACTCCTCCAGATTTTCCCACTTGAAACTGAACCACTAACACCCGTGGCATTCCTGTGAGCACTACAGTATTTAATACAAAGCCCAGTACACATAATGTGCCCATAAGACCCACTATCACCACCTTTTTTAGAATAAATACTACGTTAATAGTATCACTGTTGTTGAGCTTGCCATTGGGATTCATATCTGTAAACCCAGCATTTGGGAGGCTGAGGCAGGAGGATTGCCATGAGTTGAGGCCAGCTAGACTAAGAGTGTGACCACGTCTCAAAATGAAACAGAAAGCAAACAAAAAAGAAACAAATATTATTGTTGGTAATATCTTCTGAAGAATAGCAGGCTGAACAGCCACTCTAATTCCCCAAAGACTCTGTATAATACTGCCAAATAGTTTAAAGGCTTGTGCTTTGGGAGACAGGCACAGACACCTCCCCACACTGGGTCCAGAGGGAGTGCAGGAATGTACCGGACGATGAGGACATCCTGTGCGTGCACACAATTTTGCAACCAGTTGAAGTAAACAGAGGCCACGTGGCCGGCCAGCCCAGCATGCCCGAGCAAGTGTCACCAGAGGCCCTGAGGGTGTGTGTCCTAAACTGTGATGGCTGGTGGTCCCAACAGCTCAGATAGACCCATGCCAGAGCACACAGTAATGTAACCATTAGTACCTCCTTACTCTGTAGTGTCCAAACCCAAATCTAGCAACCTAACTTCCTGACCATAATCTCATAATAAAGCTGGTACTGTTACCATTATCTACTCGGACTTTCTGAATGATGAAACCATGTCCACAAACTTCTGAGATGTCCCTTAAGATGGTTAGAACTAGCGCCGGCCATCGGAAAGTACACATGCCCACTTAAAGCAGCCAGCCCTTGCTATCCCTGATGTTACAGCACTGGGCCTGGGAAGGGCCTCAGGGAGCTCATGGGGCCCTGTTGTTTCATAAGGGAGGACCAAGGCCCAGAGAGTTTAGGCTTCTAGCCTTCCATGTGCTGAGACAGGCAGGGCCTAGCCTGTTCCCTAGCCACTCAGGATACTGAAAATAAAGTGGAATCCAAATGAGAGCTGGCTGTAGGTTTTGTAAAGAGGGATCGTAAAAAGCACATACAAGAGGTTTTTTGGGAAGTGCATTACATTAGCCTATAATAACCCTTTTTTTTTTCTTACTTTGAAAATGAAAAAAAAAAATTAAAGTATTCATAGCCATTAGTTAAGTGTATATTCTGAAAAGTCCTGGGATTTCTAAGCAAAATGAGACTCTGTCTTTTCCTAACCTATCAATTATATTGTATTGGTATAACGAATACTAACTTTGTATAGATAGCATTACCTTTTGTTGCTGTTTAATTTTTTTGTCAACTAGACTCATTGGAGAAGAGGAAACCTTAGCTGAGAAGGTGATCCCACCGACTGGTCTGCCTCTGGAGGCACTTTCCTGATTAGTGATTGGTGTGGGAGAGGAGGGCCCAGCCACTATGGGTTGCTGGGCAGGGGATGCTGGGAGGTGTAAGGAAAGTAATTGACAGTGAGCCTGGGGAGCAAGCCAGAAAGCAGCATTTCCCCACAGTCTGCTTCCAGCCTGCAGTTCCTGCCCTGACTTCCTTTCACGATGGAATCCCACTATAGGCCGAAATAAACCCTTTCCTCCCCAAGTTGCTTTTGGTCATGGTGCTCATCAGAGCAACTGAAACCTAATTAGGACATCTTCCGAATGTACATCCAGATTTGTGTTTTATAGTAGCTTATTGCACAGAAGAATCTTCATTCTCTGTGAAGCAAGATAGTATATATACTTTTTTTTTTTTCATTTCGTTTTCTCTTTTAAAAAATTTTTATTTTGCAGCACTAGGACATGAACTCAAGGCATTATGCATGCTACACAAGGGCTCTGTGACAAACTGAACTCACAGGCATCTCATTTTTCTCTGATCCCTTTAGGAGTGTGTGTGTGTGTGTGTGTGTGTGTGTGTGTGTGTGTGTGTGTGTATGAACTCACAACGATCCTCTAGAATTACTGACAGGAATTCTGGAGGCTGGCCTGCTGCTTCCCTGCAGAACAGCCACTTGCCTCCTTGTCACTGGGAGATTTAAGATGGGCAGATAAGAATGAGCCTCTTGCTCACTTTTCCTTTGCTGCGTGCTGCTGCTTGCTCATTCAGGTTCTCCTCTTGCTTCGCTCATGTATCTCCAAAAGCAGAGCTGTCCACTGCGTGCAACTGGCAGCCATGAGAGCTGAGGGCCAGCAATGAACGTGTTCTCAGGGTGGTGCAAACTGTGCTCATCATCTCAGCCGTGAAGAGTTCACAGATGAGGAGACAGGACACGTGGTCCCCAGCCTTCAAATGACTCTCCCCACACCCAGGGCACAGTGCTTACACTGTCACAACCTCCCAAGGGCAACAGGGCACAGTGCTTTGATGGTCCCAACATTGCTGCGCACACTGTTTTCAGTATTAAGTCGACAGGTTTCAATTACCAACATCAATACCCCGCATACTTTCCTCCTGTTTAAACATGCCACACTTCTACTCCATGAAATGAGGAGAGAAAAGGGCTGTCTATAATTGATAGGATTAAAAACCGCCGCTTGGAATTTCAACCCGGGACTACAGGATGCCACAAATAGAGAAAATCCTTTTTCTCATTTCTTCAGTTTCTCAATCAGATCCCAATACCTGGAAGATCTCAATGCAGAAACTAACACACATCAGGATGTGTAAGGGGCTGATGAAGTTCTGAGTGTATGTTTGGATGACATAAGCATGGTCAAGTTAAGGACCACAGTGACTCAGACTCATGGGAATGGCAAAGGCTTCCCCTGGTCCGTGTGTGGATGTTGACTTACATGCAGAATATGTCCACAGCGGCTTCCTCCTCTCTGTATTTACAGCCTGAGACTGCTCCTGTACAAAGACCTCCTGCCGAGATTAACTAACCCTGCCTCCTGCTTAGCTGTTTACAGTAATTCTGCTTCAGATATATACAGTAACCCTGACTCATTCAGATGTATAAAAGAAAGAACTTCCAAGTTGCTGCTGCTATGGGTACATCTCCATCAGACCCATGGCTCCGGATCCCAGCTTTTCTGTCTACGTGTCTGTCATTTCTTCATTCCCTTGTTGCTCCCATAGGTCAGTTCTTAAGCCTTGCAGAGTGCAACAACAGAGGAGGGCAGTGGCACCCCGGGAGCTGGTGGGTAAAGTTAAAAGTTCTCATCTGCAAAACTGCCTGTGGCATTTGCTGTATGCTCTTGGTTTCTACCTTGCACTTATGTGGCTTCTCCTGAGATGGTCCGAGTTTTACAGGAGATCCTGTGGTGGGTCAGCATAGTACTTTACAGTGAGCACATTATAAAGCACGCTTTCTGCAGCTTGGGTTGTAGTTAAGGCGCAGAGCGTGTGCAAAGTTCTAAGTTCAGTTCCCAGTAACAGACAGACATAGGCAGAAAAAAAGGCAGGGAAGAAAGAAGGAATGGAGGGACCTTAGAGCCTACTTTTCTCTTCTAATTAGAAGGCAAGATAAAGCTCTAATACCAACTTGCTTTTTCTCATTTTTTTTTCCCTTTTATAAATAGGGGACTGAGGGAGGGATGGTGGGATTGAGAGGGGACGAGGGAGGGGGCTACATCTGGGTTATAAAGTGAATAAACTGTAATTAAAAAAAAAACAAAACAACAACAACAACAAAAATGAAAGCATGCGGGCTGGAGATATGTTCGGTAGTCAAGAGTGCATATTGCTCTTACAAAGGACTCAAATTCAGTTCCCAGCTTCCACATTAGTCAGTTCACAGTAATCCGGATGTAACTCCAGTTCCAGGGAAGCTGACACCTCTCTCTGGACTCCACGGGCAACTGCATGCACATGTGCACATTCCCACACATAAACACATAATTAAAAATAAAACAAATATTTAAAAAAGACAATTATCTACTCTCCCTGAAAACCCAGTTCTATTCCCAGCACCCACATGGCGGCTTACAGCCAGGTCCAGAGGATGAGATACCCTCTTCTGGCCTACATGCACACAATAGACAGACATACACATAAATACAAATAAGTACATCTTTCCATTTTAAAAAAAATAATAGTAAATGTATGTTGTTTTATATGTGGATATACGTATGTGTGTATATAATCCACTCAATTGATCCTAAAAGTAGGCTATCACATGCACACAGAATTATACCATGTGTTTTCTGTAGCCACAAATATTCTTCTGATTCAGGCTTCAAAAAACAACCAATCTTTTTTTTTTTTCTATTTATTTTATTCTTAATTACATGTATGGGTAAGTAATGATACTTACACATACCTTGATGTAGCATATTACACAACACAGATAGCAGGCTTTGTGTGACTTTAGAGCAGACTTGGATTAGCTACTAATGTGTGTTTCTATGTTCTAGAATAATCACTAAAAAATTCTAAAATCCAAGAGCCAACTGAGAAAATAAAATGAGAGTAAATGAATGATATGCCATAAAATAAGTAAAACACTTCACATATATGCTTTGAAATTTGAGCAAAAAAAAAAGTATATTACTGTAGGTTGGTCAACAGTAACAAGGGCACCTCTTGGTTGAGAGCTGGTGTTGACAATGAATCAAGGAAGTTATGCAAACAGCTGTACATGCTGTTCAATTTCACTGTGGATGTAAACATACTCTAAAGAAATGGGATCTCTCTCTGTTTTTTGGTTTTGTTTTGTTGGTTGGTGGTGGTGGCTGGTGTTTGTTTGCTTGTTTGTATTTTTAGAAAGTGACCCAGGAGATATAACGCAAACTATTTGCTTAACATCCTCAAGGCCCGAAATTCAATTCCAAGAACCAAAATTAAAAACATGACTTATAGACTGGAGAGCTGGCTCAGCCGTTAAGGGCACTTGCTGCTGTTTTAGAGAAACTGAACTGGGAACAGAGTTTCCACTTCAGGCAACTCAGCTACAGAAAATCCACCATCCTCTCTGGCTCGCTAGAAAATGAACACATGTGGCATACTTTCAGACAGATGCACAAGATAATAAATTAAAAGTAATAATAAATATTTAAAACTGTCATTCATTAAACATATCACAGAATCACACAATGCTAATGTCAGGAATAAACACAAATTCTGTGAGTAATAGTGAATTATTTTTTTAAAAATATGATCCAATTCAAACATATTATTGACACTAATCAGAAAATTACAAATAAGATTAGTAGTTGAAGATGAGCTTAGTAAATCTAAATAACTATATCTATCTAAATAAGTATGTGAAATCTAAATAACTATATCTATCTAAATAAGTATAGATACAGGTGCTCACGGGGCCCAGAGGTCTTGGACCTCCCAGAGCTGGAGTTACAGGCAATTGTGAACAACCTAACATGAGTTCTGGGAACTGAACTTGGGTCCTCATTAAGACTAGTCCATGCTCTTAATCACTGAGCCATTGTTCCAGCCCCTGAAATCTTCATCTTTAATAACTGCATTGCTCCTGCCCCTTTCCAACATGCATAGAAATTATCATTAAAATTGCTTTGTTTGTTCTGATATAACTCTTCCCTGGACAGGCATAGCTTGCTTCACTGACTACAATTTTTTAAACTGTTTATCCATATTTTATATGTATTTTGACAAAACAGAGTATCCTGAAGGTGAATCTGTATCAAACACGTTTGGGTACACTTCTCATCTTCAGTGGGCTAATTTACTCTCTGCCTTCAAATGAGAACAACCTCACACAGCTTCCCAGCTGGGCTCCCTCTGATCAAACTTGAAATCAGCATAGCTGTCACTGGCCCAGGCCACCAGCTCCCATTCCCAATTTGACACTCATCGCCCTCATTTGTGTGTTGATTTGCAATCACCCCAACCTGGGTTCAGTGGAGGAGCATTAGAGGAAGACACTGTTGCCCTGTTTATTGTTTATCTTAGGGTTGAGAAAAAACACATAGCATAAAATAAGTGTTCAAAATACTTGCTTAATAACCATAAAATCGGGCTGGAGAGGTGGCTCAGAGGTTAAGAACACTGGCTCCTCTTCCAAAGGTCCTGAGGTCAATTCCCAGCAACTACATGGTGGCTCACAACCATCTATAATGAGGTCTGGTGCCCTCTTCTGGCATGCAGGCACACATGCAGACAGAATACTGTATAAATAATAAATAAATCATTAAACAAACAAACATATAATTGTAACACAATAGCTATTGAAATGCATCCCTTCCTGAAATTCTAGGTTTCCAGCTCTGAGTCTCTCTCTTTCTCACACACACACACACACACACACACAGTGTACACTGGTGTTTATCTGTATGTGTTATAATAAAAAAAAAAAAACAACAAAGAAACAAACAAAAAGCCAGTATGATGCAACCTAGAGCTACCTCTGTACCTTAAAGAACAAAGTCATCAACAAAAACCTGCTTCATGTGTATGAACCTGGTGGATTGGTTTACACTTGAGGACACATTCTAGCAGGAAACCAAAGGACTTTGTAATACCACCCAAAAAAGATTCTCTTCCATTGGAAGTGTTTTCACTCTTGCTCATATCACACAAATGAGATCTCTGACTTTTTTGTCTCTAACATAATGTACATCCTTCCCCAAGCATTTCTTCTCTTATCTGTCGACTCAAATGTACAGTCGGATCATTAAACTGGTGGATGATAAGCAAGTGTGTGCTGAGCTTGTCACTAGCTGAGCCCACTCACACAGTGATTTGCTTGATGGGTGTCTTACATCGAGAGCCACATCTAGCAAAGGCCTTTAACACAAACTTACCTGTCATTCCGAAAGATCTTTGGTAAATACCTCCTTGGAAACCACATGGCCAAAGCACACATCAAAACCCAAAGGATGGCAAGCTCATCAAGCATCTGACCCAGGAAACTAAGAGTTGCATGGAAGTAGACAGAGCCAATTCCTAGGAGCAATCACAACCAAAAAAAAAAAAAAAAAGATTAATGCCGAACAGACAGCTTCAGGATAGTCATTCTCCAGGTACTACTGGAATCACCAGCTCACTCTTGAGAGAAAGAGACAGAGAGACAGACAGAGACGGGGGTTGGGGGGGAGGGGAAAGTGGAGAAAGAAAGAAAAGAAACAAACAAAGAGAAACTCACAGAGCCCAGGCAATGCAGACCTAGAGGCTGGAAAGAGGGTTTCAGGTTGGGCTCAAACGTCAGCACATTACAACAGTAAGAATTCCACAGCCAGGCACACTCTGTCTCCGTCCTCTGAACCTTCACGATAACAGGCAGTAAATAAAAGTCGACACTATCTCCCTGTCAAGAATTCCCAAACAGCCGGAGAGGAAACGGGAATCACACAAGTATTTCACAGAACAATGAGGGACCCAGCGTCTAAATATTTTTCTTTAAGTCCTTTGGAGCCACATCTCATCGGACTTCAATTGTTTCAGAGGTTCTTCAGAAGTTCTCAGAGAGCCAGGCTGGCACACCACCAGTGGCTGCCCCAGAGGCTGAGCGCCGGTATGTGACAATTACAGGCAGCCTTGTTATCAGGCCAGCACTCAAGAGTTCTTTTGGCATCAGGGGAGCAGTGGCTAAGACGTCAGAGCGACTCTAGTTTACAAAACATTATGTTCAGAGGGGACAGGAAACATTCGGGGTCCTACTTCCTCCCTTTCAATCGCTGCTCTCGCATGACTCCGCTTACCCACTACCACTAGCAGAGTCCATATTAAGTAGATGCCGCTGTTGAAGCACGTCGCATACTGTCGGAACAGGCACATGCAGATGGGCGGTAAAATGAAGAACAAGAAGTTGCTGATCTAGAGGGGAGAGAAGCACGAAAAGATTAGCATTAAGGAAAAGCCTAGAGAAGTAAAGCTGTGTGTTCCAGGTGTGTCCTTGGCACACTGGAGTGACTGTGACTGTGTCATCTTGCGCAAGCGCTGTGTTTTTTTAAATTGCAGACACACAGCGCAGGCGTGGTGGGGTTAGGGGTGAGTGCGGAGGACGGGACACAGAGACTCAGAACGTCTCGAAGACTATGTAGGAGGCTCCTTGCTGCCTCTTTTGATCATAGAAGCGACTGTAATCAGCATCATGTAGGCTAGAGGTAGGCTCAGTGGTAGAGCCCCGGCCTAGCATCAAACCCAGGGGTCAATCAACAGGGAGGTGAGTTGGGGGGAGGGGGACACATGAATGCTTCAAGCTCTGAAAATTTCCTAAACTTCTTTCCTGATTCAAAGAACCAACAACTCTTGCTTTCCACATGAGGAAATCAATCTTTCCAAGGTACCTCTCAGTTACCCTGTCAGTTTTCTGACCCTAATCAAAAGCTATTAGAAGAAAATCAAGTTTATACGCTTTGGGGTCATGAGAGCAGGAGAGCTGCCAGGCCTGGTGGCGCAGGCTTGTGATACCAGTACTCAGACGGAGGCAGGAAGGTCAGGAGTTCAAGGAGAGATTCAGCCACTTAATGAGCCTAGGTTACTATGTGCTGCGTTATGAAACTGCAGCAGCAGCCCAGAAAAAAGGAGAGAGAAATTTGTATTATAACTTGCAAATTTTATTTGCACTTAAATCTATTATGTCTCCAAGAAACAGTCAATTCTTTTTTTAAAAAATTTTAATAATGTTTTATCTAATGTAATATAGTATAAATATTGTTGTCTGAATTTGTAATCACTACTAAAATACCATTAGCCTAGCAAGACAGCTTGTACCTAGATTCCAACTTCTTGGGAAACTGAGACTAGAAGGACTGTGAATTTGATTAGTTAAATATAGGCAACCTAAACAAACAAACAAACAAACAAACAAACACACAAACCAGGGGCTGGAGAAATGGCTTAGCAATTAAAAGCACAGTCTACTCTTCTAGATGAGCTGGGTTTGATTCCCAGAACCCATGAGGAGTCACAACCTTAACTCCCATTCCATTCCAGAGGGTAGAGGGTCGGATGCCCTCTTCTGGCCTCCATGGGCAATGCATGTACACAGTGAGCAGCCATAACTTGCAGGCAGGACACCCATACACACAAAATAAAAAATAAATAAATCTTAAAAAAAAAAAAAAGCCAGTAAATCAATAAAGGAAAATATGACCTGAATAAAAATAACGATTAATTAGTACACATTCTTTTAAACCCAGTGTAAATGTCACAGATTCGGCAAGTCTTAGTTTTTAGCCACATCTCCTGTGTTCACAAGCCACGCTGTAAGGCACAGTTCTGCGACCTGACTCAGTACATCTCAGTTGTAGGATGCTTGTCTGGCATTGGTAAGGCCCTGACTTCAATCACCAGAATCACCACAAAAAAAAAAAAAAAAAAAAAAACAAGGAAATGAATGAATAGATCAAAAGGAGGAAGAAGGGGAGCAAGAGGGTGGGAAGACAGAAAGAAAAGGCAAGAGGCAGCAGCAGAGGGGCCATGAGCTCCTCAGACAACTAACCTGCTGGCTCCAGGTTGCATTTTCAGGCTGCAGAACTGTGGTACTGTAAATGGCGAGATTTAAGGTATTTGTTATGGGAGCAGAGGCGGAGTTGGCACCAATGTTTTTGTAATTAATTGTGCACTCACCAGTGGGCTTTTGAGGTGTTTCGCTTTTGTTCTACAGTCCTACCAACAGTGTGCCCTTACTGGACAGTATTATACTCTGTTGTTCATTTTTAAAGTCAGGCCATCCCAGTTGGTATACAACGGTAGGGACATTCGGCCCAAGGGCGCCGCCTCCTTCCTCTCCTCCCTTCCCCTGACATTCAGCTTTCTAAGCGTGGTCCCCAGTTGCTGAATGAGGAGCCTTTGGCCCAGGCCTGTGCGTGTAGAATGTAAAGATAACGTCTAAGTCTAAACGGGCTTTAAACACTGGAGGTGAGGTGGGAGGTGAGAGACTTCAAGAAACAAAACAAGTGACTCTGCAGTTCAGAACATGTGCCGTTGCTTCAGAGACCAGGATTTGCAGCAACTCCAGCTCCAGAGAATACCATGCCTCTGACCTCAGAAGGCACTACATTCACACACACACACACACACACACACACACACACACACACGCTTAAAATAATAAAAAGGCTAGAGAGATGGCTCAGTGGTTAAGAGCACCTGCTGCTTTTACAGAGGATCCTGGTTCAGCTCCCAGGAACCACATGACAGTTCACAGCCATCCATAACTCCCGTTCCAGGCAATCCAACACCCTCTTCTAACCTCCTCAAGCACTAGACATGTATGTAGCGCACATATATACATGGAGACAAAACGCTCATACACATATAGAGAACAAATAAATCTTAAATAATAATAATAATAATAAATATTTAAAAAATAAAAAGAGCGAGGCCTGGCTGCTCATACGTATAATCCCAGATACTCTGGGGGGTGAGCCAAAAGGATCACAAGTAAGCCTTACTAGGCTGCAGTGTGAATTAACAGCCAGCCTGGACCAATTAGTGAGACCCTGCCTCAAAATTGAAAAATCAAGAGAGCAAGGCTGGCAAGGTGTCTCAGTGAGTAAGGGCACTTGCCACTAAGCCTGACAATAAGAGTTCAGGTCCTGGGACCACCAGGTGGAAGGGAAGAACCAACTTCCTTAAGTCGTCCTCTGACCTCTACATACGTGCTACAGTAGGCACGCATCCACACACACAAAGAAAGGACATGACCATACCTGTTGGCTAATATAGAAATGTGAGTTTGATGATGGCTCAAAGGAACCATGTGGGCACCTGAACTCCAGACAGCAGGGCAGAAGGGCTCCCCCCCCAACACACACACACACCTCAGAAACCACACAGGTATCATCCCAATAAAAGAAGTCACAGTAGGGGCTGGGAAGATGGCTTAGTCAGCGAGTGCCGCACAAGCATGAGGGCTTAGGCCTGGACACCCAGCACTCCTGCACCCACGTGAGAAGCTGGGTTTCACGATTTAATGCAAGTGCTAGGGAGGTAGAGACAGGAGGATTTTTCAGGCTTGGTGGCAGTTGGTCAAGCCAAATCAGTGAGCTCTGGGTCCCACAGACAATAAAGTAGAAGGGGATTAAGGACAGCAGCGAACTTCAAACTCTGGCCTACACACGTGCGCGCGCCCATGTGCGCGCATACAGAGAGAGAGAAAAATATCTTAGCAAACCTCAGAACTCGGGCACCCCTTGGAAATGATACAGGGATTCAGAAAGAACAGAAATAAGAGAATAATAAACTGAGAGAACGGACTCTTTATGTACTCTTGATGACCTTGAGTGAAACTGAATAAGTGTTCTTTTCCTCAGGCTCGGAGAGAGAACTGCTCTCATTTATACGAACTAAGTGAGGAGTGAGAGAGATGGCCCAGAGTTCAATTCCCAGCGGCTGCTCACAACCATCTGAAATTCCACCTCCAAAAGACCCAACACCCTCCCTGGCAGCTATGAGCACAAAGCATTCATGTGGTGCATAGATACAGTGCAGGCAAAATACCCCATACATACATATATATATATATATATATATATATATATATATATATATATATATATATATATATATATATATATAT